TGGCCATCTTAGCTAGTATAAGTTACTTAACTTCTCTAAGCCTCAAGTTGTAAAATGGGCATAATAATAGTTCCAACCTCATAGGGTTGCTATGAGAATTAAATGAATTTATATATATAAACTCATATATACACAAATACATACATATATCAAGCACTTAGAACAGAGGCTGGCACCTAGTAAACATAAATAAGTGATGGCTGGAATCACCTGAGTCAGGGTGTCTGTAATTTGCTGTGGAAGGTGGCCTGATGGGTATAGGAGAAGGGACAGAACTAGTATAGGAGGACGTCTCTGAGGCATGGAGTGCCAAGCTGGACTCTGGAAAATTTGAGATGAGTGCAAAACATCACATCACTCTAGCTTCTGAAAAGGATGTAAACTCCATTCCATAAAAACTGCAGAGAAAAAACGTCCAATGAAGTTAATAAAGGAAGAAAGCATATTAGAAATACCCAGTTGTGTGATACACAGACAGAGAAAGACCAAAGGAGCTCTTGCCCAAGAAGGTGCCACAACTGCAGAGACATCAGCAGAAAGCCAAAACTGGATCTATGTAAAGAGACACAGAGCAAGGCTTGGCCAGATTCTACGGGAAACCCATTTCAGGCCATCTCTGCATTGAGCCGACAGGCCACGCACAGGGACAGAATGACATCTGGTTTCCCGTCACACATCCACACCTGCTTACCAACACACAGCTTGAAAGTCTAATTTTAGACTCAGCAGCCGTGACAGCATTTTTTTTTCTTTAAAAAAAAATTGTCCATATTTCATCTTCTGGGTGCAGTGGATAGCCCTTACTCTCACATTCCCTGCAAAGGAGGGGAATGGAAATAATAATGGGTCCTTTCTTTCATGTCCCCCCAAGATTCCCCACTCATTTAGAATGTCCACCTAAAATGCCTTTCTAAATCCATGTCAAGACCTAAGAAACAATAAGTTTCCCAGAGCCTAAATCACAGCTGTCATTACATCATCCCCTGCTCAGAAACCTCTGTGGGACTGCTTGTTGCCAGAAGAACAAAACCCATTCTCCATAACCTGGAATCCAAAGCAACCTACAGTTTGAGATTCAGTCCATCCTTTAAAAATGTCCATATTCCTGTGTCACCACTTTGCTCAAGGTGGGGTCACAAACTGGCTGGGCAACTTAGTGACCATCTCTCTTTGGGTAAGTTATTTAACCTTAGCTTCAAAACACCTCAGGTGAAGGATCTAGCTTTGACCTTGACATAATAGGAGTCAATAAATACTGGCCTGCTGTGTCAATCATTAAAAAGAGAGGGTTTTGCAGAGGACAGGAACATAACAAACCAAAGAAAGGAAAAGGTGTAGTTGGTCAAACTTTTTACAGAGGAATCTGGTAATATGTATCAAAATCTAAAATGCACATAACCTTTGAATTGACCCAGAAATCCCACCTGTCCCATCGACATCAAAAGGTCATTGAATAAGTGAGGAAATATGTAATCATAGGGATTTCATCACAGCATTGTTTATAATAGCGAAAAATTCAGAAACAATCTAAATGCCATTAGGATTGGACCAAGAAACTTATGTAAACAGACATTATTATTAGATGATGAAAATTGCTTCTTTTTCCCCTGAATTTAGTGGTTTTTACAAGATACATGCAACATTTTTTCCAAAATCAGAATGACTACTTAAAAAATAATTTTTAAAAACACACAATGGAAAAAGGTCCTGCAGGACACTTTCTTGGATTCTCCAGGACAGTTATTATTTTACAAAGAACAGATGAAGGTTTAGTACTGCTTTTCAGACCAGCCGACAGTCCAGGCAGCTGATAAAATGAGGCTAAAATGAGGTATATGAAAGACTTCTGTGCTTTTTGCATAAAATCAGCCAATTCTGTCCTTTTACCACTTCTACAAAAAAAGAAAAAAAAAGCTCTATTCTTTACCCACAACTTTTATAGTTAATCCTAAACATCTATGTTCTATGTGAAGCTCTTGACAGGAGGGAGACTAAGAAGAAAAAAGCTAGTGGGTGGTTCAGAGCAAGCCCACCTCAGACACTAATAAGACTTGGCATTAATACTCACCCAGTGTGCTGCTGGAGCATTCCAGAATTATCACTATAGGACCAAAATTATGGGGAGCAGAAATGATTTGAACAAGTGATGGGGCTTCAGACGGATTTTAGATTTCTGATTTTTAGTTATTTGGGTTTGAGGGCTTTATTTCCCTTAAAATGACAGGTAAATAAAAATCTCAAACCATATAGAACATAAAAACATACAGTAAATTATCCTCTGAAATCATAGTTCACAGCAATAATCACTATTAACTTGTGGTGCTTGTTATAGTTTGCTTTTGTTTGTAAACCTATTTCAAAGGAATTAATCATTTCTCACCCACTATACTGGCAGAAATAAAAAAGTATGTTAATATTAAGTCCTGGCAATATTGTAGGAAATGAGCTTTCATGTGCTGCTGCTGAGAGTGTAAATTAACTTATTAACATATTGGCGACAGAATCTGTATAAACTTAAAAGATGAATGTCCTGAGAACCAGCCACATAACTTTCTTTTATCGAGGAATAATTCATATACCATGAAATTCACCCCTTTAAGGTATACAGTTCAGTGGTTTTAGTATTTTCAGAGGTGTGCAACCATCAACGCTAGTTCCAGGATATTTTCATCACCCCAAAGAGAAATTCCATACCCAGCAGCAGTTCACTCCCTCTTCTCCTGCCCTCGTTGCCCATGGCAACCACTAATCTACTTTCTGTCCCTACGGATCTGCCTGTTACGGACATTTCAAATCAACTGACTCAAACAATATATGGTCTTTTGCAACTGGCTTCTTTCGCTGGAAACAGTGTGTTCAAGCTTCATCCACATTGTAACGTGAATCATTACTCCATTTCTTTTTATGGCTGAATAATATTCCATTGTATGGATATACCACATTTGGTTATATATTCATCAGATGAAGGACATTTGGCTTGTTTCCACATTCTGCCTATTACAAATAATGGGGCTATGAACATTCCTGCAAATTTTTGTGGATTTTTTTCAATACAATGTAGAATTGCTGGGTCAAGTGGTAACTCTACATTTAACTGTTTGAGGCACTGAAAAACCGTTTTCCACAGCAGCTGCACCATTTACATTCCCACCAGCAGTGTGCGAGGGTTCCAATTTCTCCACATCCTTTCCAACACTTGTTACTGTGTCTCTTTTTTATTACAGCCATCCTAGCAGGTTTGAAGTGGTATCTCAATGTGGTTTTAATTTGCATTTTCCTAAACACTAAAGATGTTGAGCATCTTTTCATGTACTTATTGGTCATCTGTATACCTTTCTGGATAAATATCTACTCAAATACCTTGCCCATTTATTAATTGGGTTGTCTTTTTATTACTGAGTTGTAACAGTCCTTTACATATGCTGGATACTAATAAACCCTTATCAGTTTTACAGTTTGCAAATATTTTCTCCCATTTGTTAGGCTGTCTTTTCACCTTCTTGACAGTGTCCTTTGAAGCACAAAAGTTTTTCATTTTGATGAAGTCAAGTTTACCTATTTTTTTCTTTTGTTGCTTGGGCTTTTGGTGTCATAGCTAAGAAACTACTGCCTAATCCAAGATCACATAGATTTACACCTGTTTTTTCCTAAGAGTTTTATAGTCTTAACGCTTTCATTTAGTTCTTTGATCCATTTTGAGTTAATTTTGTATTTGGTGTGAGATAGAGGTCCATCTTCGTTCTTTTGAATGTGGATATGCAGTTGTGCCAGCACCATTTGTTGAAAAGGATACTCTTTCCTCATGGAATTATCCTGGCACATAGCTCTTTAAAATCTACCTGAAGTGTTCTGTAGCTTAATTGTGGCAATGGTTACACAACTGTATATGTGTGTGTTCGCCAAAACGCATTGAATTGTACACTAAGAAGAATAAATTTTGTATGTAAATAATAACTCAATAAACCTGACAACTAAAAATTCTCCTTTAACATAATACTGTATGTCAACTATATTTCAATAATAAAATCAATTCTCCTTTAGAGAAACATTCACACATAGAATATACAAGGATCGTATGCTTCACAAATATTACAGTACTGCTTATATATATAAGAGTAACTAGAAACCACCTGAACATCTGTCCGAAAGGAAAAGAGCTAAATAGAATATAGTATAATGGTAGGATTGAACACTATGCAGCAGTTCAAAGGAATAAATTAGATTTTACAGACATCAAATGGATAAAGTTTAGAAACATTCTACTAAACGAAAAAGATAAGTGTACAATGATTTACACAAAATGAAAGCATGTATGTAAAAAAGAAAATCAAAACCATACTATACAGGTTCTATGAATATCTGAAGGTATCTCTTAAAGGTCTGGAAGAATACTCAATACACTGATAACACTCACTGCCTCTGGAGAAGGCAAAAAGGCACCAAATTGGATAGGACAGTCAGAAAGGAGTTGAGCTGTCATTTTTCTCCCAAAGGGAAATCTATTTACTGATTACTTGTGTGATTAAAAATTAATAGTATATAATTTATGTGAGTTGTAAACAGAGGTTATAAGTATGGAATCATAGCTTTTTTTTTTTTTTTTTTTTTTTTTTTTTTTTATAGGTCTTTCACCTCCTTGGTTAAGTTTATTCCAAGGTACTTTATTCTTTTTGATGTGATTTTTTTTTTTTTTGTGGTACGCGGGCCTCTCACTGCTGTGGCCTCTCCCGTTGTGGAGCACAGGCTCCGGACGCGCAGGCCCAGCGGCCATGGCTCACGGGCCCAGCCGCTCCGCGGCATGTGGGAATCTTCCCGGACCGGGGCACGAACCCGTTTCCCCTGCATCGGCAGGCGGACTCTCAACCACTGCGCCACCAGGGAAGCCCCTCTGGAATCATAGCTTTTTAATACGCGTGCTCATTTGTGCTTCCCCACACCCAACCTACATGCGCACACACACACACACACACACACACACACACACACACAGGTGATCTTACCAATTTGGATTTTCTATACTTTCCCGGAAGACAGACTCTTCCTTCATGGATGCATATTGTGTCCACGTAAGGCAGTGACTCCTTATAGCCATGTTCCTTTCCTGAGGATTCAACCATGATTCCTCTTCTAACTGGACATTAGGTACCTTTAAAATGTTCACCTGTCCAAAAGACAGAAGATGGTTTTCTGAATTTAGGAGGAACAAGCTACATAAGGACTGTGTCCAGAGTTGCTTTTAGTCTTAGGGAATTAAGAGGACAAGTGATCCTGATATATGGATGATGGCTCACCAATGGCTGTAAGTCCTTGATAATCAAACATACTATGACCTTACTAAATGTTGGTAAGGACATGCAAATGGCCCAGGATTTACACAGCCTGTATAGTCCCTGGCCTGATTTCCCTAACTGCTAAACACTAAGCAAAGTATCAGCCTCCTTCGTGTCTCCTCTAGGGCCTCCATTATGGCCTTCTTAAATTGACAGATTCTAATTGGGCCCACTTATGGGCTCACATGCAGGACAATATCAGATAAAATATTTTCTTCATTTTAAACTCTGCCCAATATCTAGAAATGTATGCTTTCCTAGGTGGAAGAAACATGCAAAGCTACAAAGGCAGAATTGTACAAGTCAGGGTGTTCTTAAATTATTTAAGAATGGAGATACAAGACAAAGTTGAATGCCTTTTTAAATAATAGATGCAAAGCATGTATACAGGGCAAAGGCAGGGTACACACTCTGGGGAAAAAGCCAGCAATAATTTGCTGCACATACTGCAACATATTATTATCTGGAAAATAAAAGAAAGTTCATTTTCAATGTCAAATCAGCCTTCTTTCCACTAAAGAAAGCAACAGAGTCTTAATCCATGATAAGAAAGTGATGGAAGCTGCCATGTTTTCTACATACAGCACAGCAAAGCAATTTGCAAGCTAACCGGCAGGAGCCCCGCTGGGTTTTATATCACAAACAGGATCACTTCCAGGTTGAAAAGACTGAGACATTTTTAAAAGTACGCAGCAAGTCACTCTCCTCTATTTCCTGATGATTCTAAAAGGACTCTTGTCAATAATCCCTCTACAGTTAAAGCAATGGGATTAAAAATTTCACTCACCTTTTTCCAACAATCACCAGCGTGCTCAAGGATTTCAAAGAGAGAAAACAATATGCTATCATGAAGATTTCATCATCAATACCATTACTTTACAGAAACACACACAAAAAGACTTACAGAGGGTGCTGAAAACACTACACTCCCGAAACCATTCTTACTGACAGTAAAATGGAAACTGAAGCTTTTCTCTTCCTTACTGAAGATTACACTTAATATTTACCGTCTGCCCACTTCTGATCATTCTTACCTAAGAGTCATATCTAACCATGGACAGATTAGAAAAGATGGCCACTTCATGCAAAATGTCCAAAGTATCTTTTAAAATAATTGTAGCCCATCTCTATGTACACTAAGAGCCCGCCACAAAAGAGACAAAACAGACAGGAAAAAAACTCGCTCTGGTAGCACCTGTCAAAACTGAGGATGGACAGGAGACAGATTTCTTCCTTTGAAGGGCTCTGAGGTAGGAGAACTGGGGAAGTTCTAACACTCCTTCACATCAGAAAATGCTATCTCTTTCCATGACTATTTGGAAAACACCCAACGTTACACCAAATCTGATTAAATTTTGAAATGAATTTACCTTCCTTAAAATTTCTGGAACCACATTTTGACAGACTGCAATCCTCTTTCTATAGATGATCCCTGTGGACACATCTAGAAACAGAAAATTTTTACACTCAAAAAAGAACTGACGGAAACGTATTCTTGTTTTAATGTCAATAAAACTTTCAATGTCAATCTCAATTTTCTATATGTAGAATTCCCAGAGAAAATATTTAACTCAAAACCCAGCATCTCTGACCACTTTTCTGGGCCAAATCCCTCCAAATATCTGTGAGCAAGGAATAAGGATAAAATAGCTAGCCACTCACACTGCACATTCTAAATTCAAGGACGAAAGAATCGTAAATTGTTCACTGCTCAGGACTATCAATGTCAACACTCCAATGGCCATGGCCAATGAGCCCCCTGCTCAGCTCCAACGAAGAGAATGTTTTAACAAAACAATGGAGAATCTGATTCTGCCACCTTCTGCACCAAACATGTTTTCAAGCACAGGTTTCTGGCTACAAATTTAAACTTTTTTTTTTTTTTTTTAACATCTTTATTGGAGTATAATTGCTTTACAATGGTGTGTTAGTTTCTGCTTTATAACAAACTGAATCAGTTATACGTATACATATGTTCCCATATCTCTTCCATCTTGCGTCTCCCTCCCTCCCACCCTCCCTATCCCACCTCTCCAGGCGGTCACAAAGCACCGAGCTGATCTCCCTGTGCTATGCGGCTGCTTCCCACTAGCTATCTACCTTACATTTGGTAGTGTATATATGTCAGTGCCTCTCTCTCGCTTTGTCACAGCTTACCCTTCCCGCTCCCTATATCCTCAAGTCCATTCTCTAGTAGGTCTGTCTTTATTCCTGTCTTACCCCTAGGTTCTTCATGACATTTTTTTTTCTTAAATTCCATATATATGTGTTAGCATACAGTATTTGTCTTTTTCTTTCTGACTTACTTCCCTCTGTATGACAGACTCTAGGTCTATCCACCTCATTACAAATAGCTCAATTTCGTTTCTTTTTATGGCTGAGTAATATTCCATTGTATATATGTGCCACATCTTCTTTATCCATTCATCCGATGATGAACACTTAAGTTGTTTCCATCTCCGGGCTATTGTAAATAGAGCTGAAATGACCATTTTGGTACATGACTCTTTTTGAATAAACCTCTTATTAATTATATTGGGCATATTCTTCTCTCGTAGGGGAGCAGACCCCCTGTGGCTGGAAGTATTCTGTTTTGGAAAGAAGTTTACAGAATAGCACTAGGGACATAAAAAAAAAAACACAATAAATGTGAGTTGAGAAAAAAAGGAAACCAAATCAGTGAAAAATATAAACTCTGAAGTGTTGTCTTTTGCTCTGTGAATTACTGTGACTCAGCATGTTCCTACAGTTTCTCAAAGCTCTGGCTATAACAGCCCTGAACCTTGGTGCAAACACCCTGAGTGCCCAGAAGTTGTTGGTAGGGTGAGAAATGGGTTCACCTCCTCTGCCCACTGGCATGCCTTTGGCCATCTCATCCAATGTCTGCAGTACACGTAGTGAAAATGGATGAGCCACTCCCAGAGGCAAAGATGCCCCTGTCGGTGGTAGAAATTATAATTAACCACTTAGGAACATGCACATTGTTCTATCATTTGATCTTCTGAACAACATAAAGGCAGGTTGTTATTATTTTCCCATTTAACGGATGAAGAAATAGAGCCTCCAAGAAGTTAGTTCATGTAGATAGTAACAAAATCAGGACCTGAAATCAGACTTTTCTAATGCCATATAAAACCTTTCTCCTACGAGAGCAGGTACCTGAGAAAACGGCTTTTAATCATATTTACAGAGTTATTGGAAGTGCAGGAAATACCCTCGCAAAGACAGTTCTCTCTTCACCAAGCAGAGAGAATGCCTCAGAGTCACAAAATGAACATCTCATTTCTCAGAAGGTTCAAGAGCATGGTAGACTGAGCCTGGGTGTCTCCAAAGGTTTACACATTGATGATGTGCATCATTATAGCTTCCTTCATTGCCAGCTCTCGAGTTCAAACACTGACAGTGAAAACGCTTCTACCGGAGATGTAAATGACAGAGAACAAGAAAGACTCCTACACTCCAGTATAAGGATCAGTAAACATCTTCTGTAAAGCGCCAGATGGTAAATATTAATATTTTAGGTTTTGTGGGCCATACAGTCTCTGTTACCACAACTCTGTTGTTGTGATAAGGAAGTAGGCACAGATAATACATAAACAAATGGGCATAGCTGTGTGCCAATAAAACTTTATTTACAACAACAGGCAACACAAGCATAATTTGTCAAGCCCTACTATAGTCAATACTGAACCGTATTGTTAAGTAGTTTTGATTCCATAATCCAATCATTTTTCAGTCACATCTCATATACATGCTATTAGTCATATCTATTTTGCCATCTATAACATGATATATGAATATATCAAGAGACATAGCCATGTGACCTCATTGTTCTGAGGATTAAGTTAATAAAAGTAAGAGTGCCTGGCACACATTAAGTGTTCAAAAATGTAAACTGCCACAGCTGTCATCAATTCTTAATGTAGAAAGTGACAAGAGCATAAGGCAAGCCTTCTACTGCTGGAAATGCCGGGTGCTCTTTTCTATCAGTCACCTCGAATACAGAACTATACCTCTTAATATACCTGTTTAAAATATAAAAGGCCAGTGCTTCCCTGGTGGCACAGTGGTTGAGAGTCAACCTGCCAATGCAGGGTACACGGGTTTCTGCCCCGGTCTGGGAAGATACCACATGCCGCGGAGCGGCTGGGCCCGTGAGCAATGGCCGCTGAGCCTGCGCATCCGGAGCCTGTGCTCCGCAATGCGAGAGGCCACGGCAGTGAGAGGCCCGCGTATCGCAAAAAAAAAAATATACATATATAACAGGCTACACACACACACAAAGACACACATCTTTACAAAGATCAGTAGCACTTACCTTTTTTTTCCTCCACAATTTTTACAGAGATGACATTTTTATCCATGGGGTTTGGATACTAAATGAAAACACATAAAGAAAAATTACCATTCTTTTTTTTACCAAAGTGAATTACTTCATAGTAACCAGTTATTTGCAGAAACAGTAAATATTATCCAAGCAATCTGTAAGGCCAGTTTTCAATCAAGAGTCTTAATTTTACTAGTTTCGAATAGGTAAGTAGATGCTGTCATCAACTGGACCTGTATGAAATCAGGAGAAACCTTCTTTGGAGTCAACCTAGCTCTGGATGGAGAGGGGGAGGTTAGGTTAAGCTAATTAATAAATAATACTATTAATATTGAACCAGCCTTACATAAATCAAGCGTGTTCTTTGTATGAGGCACTGTGTTGAATGCTTTACTTGCATGATCTTTTTTAAAATCAGCCTCTTTGTTGTGATTGGGTCATGGGATATCATTATCCCATCTTTCAGAAACTAAATGGAAACTAAAAAAAAATCAGAAAGCTTAGGGTCACCCAGCTGGTTAGTGGTAGAGCCACAAAATTAAATCAGGCCTAGTATCAATACATAGTGAATTCCTTCACTATTGTCCTTTACTATTGCCTGGTGGCTGGGTCAGCATCACAGGAGTATAATCACAGAAGGAGTCTATGCCCAGTGCTCAATAGTTCATTTATGTATATATGTGTATGGCTGAGTCACTTTGCTGTACAGAAGAAACTGGCACAGCACTGTAAATCAACTATATTTCAATAAAAAGATACAAAAAAAAAGTTTATTTATTGATTAAATTCCCCTGAAACACAATTTCATGTTAATAAAAAGCTGATAGGGCTTCCCTGGTGGCACAGTGGTTAGGAATCCGCCTGCCAATGTAGGGGACACGGGTTCGAGCCCTCGTCCAGGAAGATCCCACATGCTGCAGAGCAGCTAGGCCCGTGCGCCACAACTACTGAGCCTGCGCTCTAGAGCCCACGCGCCTAGAGCCAGTGCTCCGCGACAAGAGAGGCCACCGCAATGAGAGGCCCGTGCACGGCAATGACGAGTAGCCCCCGCTCACCGCAACTAAAAAGAAAGCCCACGCGCAGCAACGAAGACCCAACGCAGCCAAAAATAAATTAATTAATTAATTAATAAGAAAGGAAAAAAAAAAAAGAATCCACCTGCCAATGCAAGGGACGTGGGTTTGAGCCCTGGTCCGGAAGATCCCACATGCCACGGAGCAACTAAGCCCGTGCACCACAACTACTGAGCCCGCGTGCCCAGAGCCCGAGCTCCGCAACAAGAGAAGCCACTGCAATGAGAAGCCAGCGCGTGCACCGCAACGAAAGTAGCCCCTGCTCGCCACAGCTAGAAAGGTGACGCGCAGCAACGAGGACCCAACACAGCCAAAAATAAATTTATGAAAAAAAAACTGATAATAGCTACCATTTTTGTCCTAGGCAGTTTAATATATTATTTCAGTTTAATTCTCAAAACTATTCCATGAGTTACATTCTGGGTTTTTTTTTTCCCTTTCACTTGTGAGAAATTAAACTTGGATAAACTAAGTCATTTGCTCAAAATCCCCCAGCTAATGAGCATCAAGACTGTAATTTAGTCACAGATACTTTCTTTTGCCTTCAAGGCCTGCCCACCTAACCTACCCTCAAACACCTCAGTCACTCAAACCCTACCCTTTCCACTGCTCAGATGCAAAAAGAGACTCAGACAGTAGAAGTCCTCAAAGCCAGAGGACAAGCAGGCTGCTGACCAGGCCTGCTGAGCGCCTGTCGGGCTCTATTCCCAGAGGTTTACTGCTTCATCATGCGATCTAACATGAAAAGAAAATCACAGGGAAGTCTTATCCAGTAAGGTGCTGAAGGGGAGATGAGAGCAGCGAACAGGCTCGGGGGCGGGGGACAGGGGACAGGGCCCTCCACTTGGTAACCTTGAGCTTTAAGCCTTCTGAACTCAGGAAACGGTCTACAAAACTCAGTGAGCAGGGCTCTTCCCCACCCCCCGGCAGCTCTGTGTCTGCATGCATCAGCTTGTATAAGAGGTTGACTGAGTGACTGATTTTTCAGGGAAAAGGATCCATCATTTTCACACATTGTTAAAGATATCTGTGGTCCCAAAAGACCTGGGATAAGAACACAGACTCTGCAAGACCAGGAATTTTGTATCTCCACCAGCCAGCACAGTGTCTGGCACATAGCAGGCACTCAATGAATATTTGCCGAATGAATGAATGAATGAACAATCTGGAAGATGAACCTTGCTGACCTCTGGGATCAATGTGGAAACTAAACCTTACTCCCTTCGAGGACCAGGGGAACCAATCTATGAACGTAGCATAGATGCCCTTGACATCCTCAACACCACCTCACACCCCATGCCGTAAACTCTGCCAGTCACACTCCCATCCGGGCAACTGCAAGCTTGATAACAAATCAACAACTTGCCTTTTTGTTTGTTTGTTTGTTTGTTTGTGGCTTTTAGGATCTTAGTTCCCCCACCAGGGATCAAACCCAGGCCCCGGCAGTGAAAGCACCAAGTCCTAACCACTGGACTGCCAAGGAATTTCCCAACATGGCTGTTTAAATATTTATGTATTCATTCATTCATGTTTGCTCCAGAAAAAAATGCTCAAAATTACAATGCTTGTTTTCTTGAAGTTTAACCTTCAGTATTTTTTTGAAGATAATGTCCATCACAGGGGGTCAGGTTTAGCTATTCTGTCCCTCAGCAAGGGGGTTTCAGTTACACAACACCCTTGAAGTGAGGGAGATATCTGAGACTCACACAGATGTCCTTAATTTTTATTGTGTGTGTGTGTGTGTGTGTGTGTGTGTATAGAAATCAGAACTTTTATACTAAGGTAAAATGAGAGTATGAGAATATTGCCTCTACTACAGTTCTATTTTACTCATTTTATTATATTCATCAATACATCCTGACTGACTATTACAAATACACTGTAAGTTGTAGGAAGATGACTGAACTAAATTATGAAAGAGGTTGGAAACATAATCACCAGAGAAGGCTAATGATAAAAATTTCCCAAGTTCTGATTACTTCACAAAGTTATCAGTGAAATTCCTAAAGATTATAAACCCAAATGCTTTACTCACGCTTTTATATAACTTTAATATCTGCTTATTAGGGTGAAGGGTATCGATTTAAATAATAGTGAAACTATTCTTCACTTAACAGTTTTCTGACTACCTAGGCACTGTTCCAGGCACTAGGGACAGAGCAATGAAACAAACAAAATTGTAGCCTCTTAGAGAGTTTACATGTTAGTCAGAAAAACAAAAAATAAAATACATAAGGAGAAAATAAATCAGACTAAGGGATAACAGGGGCTTGGGAAATCATGACGAGGAGCCACTGTAAAATATTTAAGGGTCACTCATTAGACATTTCTTGCAAATTACAAAGTAAAATGGAAGTTGTCTCAGCCAAACACAAGAAATCCTAAACTATTCACGCTAGTAAACTCATTTGCAAGATTCAAGGCATTTTCCTATGCAACTACTTTTGGAGTTGAAGAGACGTGAGCCTCAAGTTTCCTTCCATACGAGAATGGAAAAAGAAATCAGAGGTTTATTTACAATAGCTAAATACCATGACATGAAAGGCATATATTTTAACTTTTTTTAAATTAAAGATTTATTGTGCTGAGGCGCCCCCTACCTGGCATTACTCAAAATTTTCTGACACCATCTTGTGGTAACTTGAATATTCATGGTTGAATTCACAAAAATGTACCTGAAGTCAGCTAATAAGGGGTCGAGAGAGGGAAGGCTGCTCAGAGAGGGTCACCACCAGGAATGC